GCGCCGGCGCCTTTAATCGGACGGCGCTTATATCCGGGGCCATACGGTGAAACTAAAATCCGTATGCTACATTACCACCACCCTTTCTTTTGTGCATGTTGAACAGTCTTGAATATTCATAGTGTTTTTATAGTCGTTTAGTGCGTAAATGCTATGCTATTTGTATTACGGTATATCTTTTACTGTTTGATGTTGTTGTGAATAAATATTATGAATACTAGTAATGATTTACATGCCACCCATGCTTAAGGAATGTAATGATGAAGCATGATATATAGATGCATAATACCGATACACGCATGAAAATGCTTATGTATGCACGTTATATGCTGAAATGCACCACACCAGTATATCATACAAATGCGTGATAGTTAACGACCCAAAAACTAGGCTACCGCATCCCCTGCCTAGCATGGGGGGGAAGTCAATAGCAAAGTCTTTGAATAATCAACTAGCACATGAATCTGTTAACTCTAAAAAACAGGTTCACTCTATCAAATCCAGTTCGAAGTGGCAAACACACGAGTCACTGAGTGCGCCAATGAACCAATGAGAAATGATAGAAATGAACCCCCTTTTTAAAATTGACAGACATGCATTGTTATTGCAATGCACACGCATACCAGGGTCCTCGACATCAGACATTTTTGTCTGTTTGTCTTAGTTTCCAGACGATTTTTTTACAGTTAATCTGATTTTCCAGATTTCGATTTTGATTTCGTCTGATTGGTTAGAAATCATTTTGTAGTTTCATCTGATGCATCAGAATTGTATTTCCTGATTCATCTGAAACCGAATCACATTATAGCCTACAGTTTTCGAGCCCATCCTGCTCTGACATGTCAATCGAACCTATGATTGGTCGAAGGTGAGATTGGTCCTTGGTCGAACCTTCTGTGATTGGTGCTGCTCCACGTTCGCGTCCCTGTACGACCCTTTCTCATCGTGGACCTGTGCAGAGCAGAGCGAGCAGGCGGACTTCATCTAGCAGAGTCAACTAACTTTACAGAAAGGGCCCGAAACAAGATTTTACAGCAGTCCCATTTTGATTGGCCCGAAATTTCTGATGCATTAGACAAAGAGAATCAAAATATCTGATGCGTGGGCCCGTCTGACGCATTAGGTGCCCTCAAATCCTAGCGAGGACCCTGACGCATACGTATACACTCATACATAACAAACACACACACACACACGCACGCACATACGTACAAACAAACATACGGACAAGGTCATACAAATGTACAACAAAAAAAAATCTGTGCACGAACTGTAAAAACAAAAACCACATATGCAAGCGAAAATTTCCAATACAAGATAAAGACCCGATGCCACTAGTCTCTTTCCACATACTTGGCCGCTACAATAAAACATTAAATCACCTGAGAAGTAGAAACGTGAGAAAAGAATAGAAGGGTCAGAATGGAAGAGAGTGAAAATGCAGATTTACATCATGAAAGAATGAACTGGAAAAAAAAAATGTGAACAAAGGGGAGCTAAAGGAATGTCTTACGTTATAGAACAGCATGTATTCAAGGGAACAGAATGATGAACGCAAGAACAAAATTGTGCAATTACGGTATAAAGAACAACAGTAAACAAAAGCGAGTATAGAGGAACAAAATCGATGATGGCAATAACAGGATTAAACGAGACAGGATAGCGGGAAGGAATGCAAGAAAAACAGTCAATTCGATAACAGAAACAGTATTAAGATGACGAAAAAACGCGCAAGGGCAGAGTAACAAAGAATCGAATACATGAGAAAGGAGAAAAGATGGAAGGAAGTGGAAAAGGGAGATGAGAGGGGACAGAAACATAAACAAATATACTATGTCGACCAAATGAAGACAGAGCAATAAACGAATGTCAAAAGAGAAAAAAAGGGTGAAGGATAGCGCAACAAGAAAAAACATCAAATCCAAGTGAAATGTCAATAAATCGGGAACCCCAGTAAATAGATCGACGGATGAGAGAACATATGAAGAAACAGAAGGGAAAGAACATAGGATGGACAGGAGAAAAAAGAGAAGGAAACAACAACCAAAGAGTCTATCTAATCATGGAAAGGTAAAGAGCGTGATAGGGAATTGACAACGGATGCAAGGTGAACGGCGTAAGGAATACCACGCGATGAGATAAGCTGAAGTCCTAGAGAAAGCCTAGAACCTAATACATAAACAGTTTGCAGCTTCTTAGAACGACCAACACTAAGTAGACGAGTAGAATACGAACATAAAAAACATGCTACTCTAACTTAGTTTATTACTATCACCTAGCTTAGTAAGTAGAACAAGTTCTGACCTTTGAGTGGTAGGTGGTGTCAAAACATATGCATATTATATCTAGGCTATATTGGGGATAGCCTTAGGGGGTACACACATTTCTCTCGACACTCTACTCTTGTACCCCACCTTGACCTAATCTCATCATCCTTGCCTTAGATTCTAACATGGTATAGAGCAGGAGGTCCTTAGGACCTTAGTACCTGTTCTGTTTGGGCCCACCTTACAAATCACCTGCGGTTACCGCGTTACCCCGTGCCCGCCCTACCCTACTACGCGTCGCGCTGCCCCTGCTGGCCGCGCGCCACTGCTGCAGCTCGCATTTTCCTTTTTTTTCGCGCGCTGCCCTGCCTGCTCTGCCCCGCGCGCGCTACGCTCGTCGCGTCGCCCCGCGGCCCTCGCGCGGCTCTCGCGCGGCCCTTTCGTGGCCCTTCGCGGCCCTCGCGCGGCCCTTTTGTGGCCCTTCGCGGCCGTCCGCGGCTCTCCGCTGCCCCTTCGCGGCCCCCTACGCGGCCCCTCCGCGGCTCTGCCGCCCTGCCGCTTCGTCGCCCCACCGTAGCCGCCTCCGCAGCAGCGGCCGTCGCACTTCCTGCCGCTGCAGCTTCCGCCATGGCTGGTTGCCGCTGCAGCTGCTGCCGTGACGACCGCCGCCACTGCCGCTGAGACAGCCGCTGCCGCCCCTGCCCCTGGCTCCTGGGGCAGCCGCCCCTGCAGCAGCCGCCCCTGGTCCCTGGAGCAGCCGCCCCTACACCTGCTGTCCCTTGCCACTGGAGCAGCTGCCCCTGCAGCAGCCGCCCCTGCCCCTGGCCCTTCGGGCAGCCGCCCCTGCAGCAGCCGCCCCTGGCCCCTGGAGCAGCCGCCCCTGGCCCCTGCAGCAGCCGCCCCTGGAGCAGCCGCCCCTGCAGCAGCCGCCCCTGCCCCTGGCCCCTGGAGCAACCGCCCCTGCAGCAGCCGCCCCTGGCCCCTACAGCAGCCGCCCCTGGCCCCTGCAGCAGCCGCCCCTGGAGCAGCCGCCCCTGCAGCAGCCGCCCCTGGCCCCTGGAGCAGCCGCCCCTGCAGCAGCCGCCCCTGGCCCCTACGGCAGCCGCCCCTGGAGCAGCCGCCCCTGCAGCAGCCGCCCCTGGAGCAGCCGCCCCTGCAGCAGCCGCCTCTGCAGCAGCCGCCCCTGCAGCAGCCGCCCCTGGCCCCTGCAGCAGCCGCCCCTGGCCCCTGGAGCAGCCGCCCCTGGAGCAGCCGCCACCTGCAGCTGCCGCGGAGCCCTCGCCCTACAGTGGTGCCGGCCTCACCATTGCCGCCGTTGTACGCCGGCCCTTCTTGCCACTGGTGAGCACTGTCCTGCCCGTACTGCTGTTACTACTGCTCCTGCTGCTACTGCTCTTTCTCCTGCTACTGCTGCTCGTGCTGCTCCTACGGCTACTGTGCTTTCTCCTGCTCCTGCTGCTACTGCTGCTACTGCTGCTCCTGCTGCTACTGCCGCTACTCCTGCTCGTGCTGCTCCTACGGCTCCTACCCTTCCTACTGCCACTGCTGCTCCTGGCGTGGCCAGATGCAGCTCCAGCGCCGTCCACGTGAGCCTCTCCCGCCCCCACAGCTTCATGAGTGGTATGCTAGTTGGGGTTGTCGGGGTGGCCGTCGTGGGAGTCGTTCTGGCGTGAGTAGTTTCGGGGCTTCTTGTAGTGGCCAGGTGCAGCTGCAGCGTCGTGTACGCACGGTCCCCTCGCCCCCGCAGCTTCATGAGTGGTACTTTCAGCGGGGGGGGTCACGGGGTTCTGCTCGCTGCCCGTACGTCATTCGCACTGGTGCTCGGACTGGCCAGCCTTGCGGGACGTTTGGTCACACAGAGTCCCGCTGCTTCGCCAGTCTGAGCGACGCCTGGCGTACGGAGTTTGGCGACGCGGCTGAGCTCCCCGACTGGGTGGAGCTGCTCCGGCAGAGGGTAGATATCTATGCTCTTGACTTTGATGCTATCCTCACTGCCATGTATGCATTGTCTACTAGTGATGTCGGTGACTGTTCCCTGAGTGCTCCGCCCGACCCGGGCGGTGCAGCTGCTGCTCTAGGTGCTAGTGAGTCAGCTGCTCCGGGTGCTAGTGAGTCTGCTGCTCCAGGTGCTGGTGAGTCTGCTGCTCCAGGTGCTGGTGAGTCTGCTGCTCCAGGTGCTGGTGAGTTTGCTCTCTCAGGTACCACGTCTGCTCCGGCGTCGCACACTTTCACCCTTGACTCGGGTGCTTCCCGCTCCTTCTTTCGAGACTGCACCACTCTCACGCCGCTCAGTCGGCCGGTTGCGGTCTCCCTGGCAGACCCCTCTGGGGGTCCTGTTCTTGCCCACTACTCCACTGTACTACCGTGTCTGGCTCCCTGTCGGGTCTTTACCTCCCCTCGTTCTCTACGAACTTGGTGGCGGGTGCTGACCTACAAGACGGGGGGGTTGACCAGTTCACCCCTGCGCGTCAGCGGGTGACCCACTGCACGTGTGCAGACACGGGCCGACACTTGGCCACGTTCACCCGTCGGCCGGGGTCGAACCTATACACCCTCACTACTGAGTCTCCTCCGGTTGCTGTGCCTGGTCGGGTAGCTGCGTCGGGTCAGGTGTTTGCTGCGGCGTCTCGGTCTGGTCCTGAGTCTGCCCCCTGCTCGTGTCGCCTCCTGTCCCACGAGACTCTTCTCTGGCACCACCGTCTTGGTCACCCCTCCCTGCCTCGTCTCCGAGGCATGGCCTCTCGTGTCCTGGTCTCTGGTCTCCCCCGGTCGCTCCCTCCCCTCCCCCCGGGGCCTGCCCCTACCTGCGTTCCCTGCGTCGAGGGGCGGCAGCGCGCCGCTCCTCACTCCTCCGAGTTTCCGCCGACAGAGGCTCCGCTGCAGACTCTTCACATGGACGTGTGGGGCCCAGCCCGCGTCCGTGGACAGGGTCACGAGCGCTACTTCCTGCTGGTAGTTGACGACTACTCGCGTTACACCACGGTCTTCCCCTTGCGCCGCAAGGATGAGGTCACTGAGGTGTTGATCGACTGGATCCGCACTGCTCGTCTCCAGCTCAGGAAGAGTTTCCGCTCGGACTTTCCTGTTTTGCGTCTGCACTCAGACAGAGGTGGTGAGTTTTCCTCCGGCCCTCTGCGAGCCTTCTGTCGTGCGAGGGGCATCCGCCAGACGTTCACGCTTCCGGCCTCTCCGCAGCAAAATGAGATTGTTGAGCGCCGCATTGGCATGGTCATGGATGTCGCTCGTACGTCCATGATCCATGCGGCTGCTCCCCATTTTCTGTGGCCGTTTGCGGTTCAGTACGCGGCGCGTCAGATCAACCTTCAGCCCCGGGTCTCCATGCCGGGGACCTCCCCCACTCTGTTGTGGACGGGGAAGGTTGGCGATGCGTCTGCGTTCCGTGTCTGGGGATCTCGGGCTTTTGTCCGAGACTTGTCTGCGGACAAGATGTCCTCCCGTGCTATTCCCTGCGTCTTCCTTGGCTTCCCCCTTGACGCGCCTGGTTGGCAGTTTTACCACCCCACCTCGCGCCGTGTTCTGTCCTCCCAGGACGTCACGTTTGACGAGTTGGTTCCATACTACCGTCTCTTCCCCTACCGTGCTGCCCCCCTTCCCCCCCCCGCCGCTCTTCCTTGCTCCAGGTCCCCCCCCGGTAGACCCCCTCCCCCCTCAGGGTACGGCTCCTTCAGGTGTGTCTCAGGTAGACCCCCCCCCCTTGGCTGAGCCTTTGGAGGTCACTTCTGACACCTCTGGCCCACCTGAGGGGGGTGACGCTGTTGCTGCTGACGCCCCGGCGGCCTTCGGCCGCGCACCATGCTTGGAGACCCCTCCAGGGTTCCCTCCGCGACCGCCTTCGCCGCCTCTGCAGCCGGTTACTGTTGACTCTGGTGCTGTTGGGGGTGGTGCTCCTGGAGGTGCGGAGTCTGGGGGTGCTGAGCCTGGGGGTGCGGAGTCTGGGGGTACTGAGCCTGTGTGTGCGGAGTTTGGGTTTGCTGAGTCTGGCGGTGAGACGCTTGAGGGTACTGGGACTGCTGGTGCGCGGCCTACTTGGAGTGGCCGCCTTCGTCCGCGTGTGCCTCTCACCCCTCAGCAGCTACACGACTGGTACGGTCGGCGTCAGCGTCGGGCTGCTGGAGCCCGGGGCTCTACTGCTGGGGGTGCTGGAGCTGCTGGTTCTGGGGGTGTTGCTGCTGGAGACGTTGCGGTTGGGGACCCTGGGACTGGAGGTGCTGGTTCTGGTGGTGCTGCTGCGGGAGACCCTGCGGTTGGAGACCCTGGGACTGGAGGTGCTAGTTCTGGGGGTGCTGCTGCTGGAGGCACTGGGGTTGGAGACCCTGGGACTGGAGGTGCTGGTTCTGGTGGTGCTGCTACGGGAGACCCTGCGGTTGGAGACTCTGGGGCTGGAGGTGCCGGTTCTGGGGGTGCTGCTGCTGGTGCCGCTGGTTCTGGTGGTGCTACCGCTGGAGGTACCGGTTCTGCGACTGGAGCTGCTGGAGCTGCTGGAGGCACTGGAGCTACTGGAGTTACTGGAGGTGTTGGAGCTGCTGGAGGCACTGGAGCTGCTGGGGGTGCTGGAGCTGCTGGAGCTGCTGGTGCTGGTGCAGCTGCGCCGACACGACTGTTCTTCGCTCCGCCGTCTCCGTCGTCTCTGCCACCGCCTGACTCTGCTCTTCGTCAGGTTGTTACTCTCCCGTCGTCTACTGGTCTTCCGTTATAGCCTGGCTCACCGCTGCCTGCTCCCTCTCCTTACACTGAGCAGACAGGTAGTCTTGCTGAGCGTCGTGCGCCTGCGTCGCGTCCAGTCTCGCCTGTTCGTTCTGGTCGTACTGGTCGTCGTGTTTCTCGTCCACGTCAGCCGACTGTCCCCAGTGCACACCTTGTTGTCCGTCGTCCTCCCTCTGCTCCGCAGTCTGTTCCCCTGCCGTCTCCCCCTGCGTCCTCTCTGCCTGCCGTTCCGGACCCTGCGTCTGACCGGTTTCGTGCTGACCACCCTACAGTCACGCGTCTACTAGCCACTGTTGTCACTGACCCGTCGTTTGAGTCTGCTGCTGCGTCTGCCTTGGTCGCTGAGCTTGTTGACTTTGCTGCTGCCTGTCGTCTAGACTACGCCGCTAGTCTTGTTGCTGAGTCTGAGTCTGTCTGTCCTCCGTCCGTCGGGGGTGAGTGTGCTCTTAGCACGGACGTCCTTGAGGACAGGCACGAGGACCTTGAGTGTCTTGCAGCCGCTGTGCCTCATCTCGTGGCCATGCTGCTTGCCCCTGAGGGAGACCCGGATGCACCAGACATCCCGACCCCGCGCTCTTACGCTGAGGCGATCGCGGGTGAGTACTCCTCTCAGTGGCAGACAGCCATGGACGCAGAGATGGCATCCTGGAAGTCCACTGGCACTTACGTCGACGAGGTTCCCCCTCTTGGGGCGAACATCGTCAGTGGCATGTGGATTTTCAGGGTGAAGCGGCCGCCAGGTTCTCCGCCCGTCTTCAAGGCTCGGTACGTTGCTCGAGGCTTCAGTCAGCGAGAGGGAGTTGACTTCTTCCAGACCTTCTCCCCCACCCCGAAGATGACCACTCTTCGGGTGCTGCTGCACGTTGCCGCTCAGCGTGACTACGAGCTTCACTCTCTTGACTTCAGCACAGCTTTCCTGCAGGGCAGCCTGCACGAGGAGATCTGGCTGCGCCGCCCCCCGGGCTTCACTGGGTCGTTCCCTCCTGGTACCCAGTGGAGCCTCCGGCGGCCGGTCTACGGTCTCCGCCAGGCGCCACATGAGTGGCACGACACACTGAGGACTACGCTTGCGGCTCTTGGGTTCGCGCCTTCTACTGCTGACCCGTCGCTGTTTCTGCGCACCGACACTTCACTGCCGCCGTTCTACATCCTCGTGTACGTCGACGACTTGGTTTTTGCCACTGCTGACACTGAGGCTCTTGCCCTGGTGAAGTCCGAGCTGCAGAGGAGACACACGTGCACAGACCTGGGTGAGCTGCGCAGTTACCTTGGCTTGCAGATCACCCGGGACAGAGCACGCCGCACCATCACACTGACTCAGTCACACATGGTGCAGCAGGTCCTTCAGCGCTTCGGCTTCACCTGGTCCTCAGCACAGGCCACTCCTCTGGCGACAGGTCACTCACTCTCAGCTCCACCTTCGGACGAGTCCGTAGAGCCGAGTGGTCCTTACCCAGAGCTAGTTGGCTGCCTCATGTACCTGATGACCTGCACTCGTCCTGACCTCGCGTACCCTCTTGGTCTTCTGGCTCGCTACGTGGCTCCTGGTCGGCACCGACCTGAGCACATGGCTGCTGCTAAGAGGGTACTGCGCTACTTGTGCAGTACATCAGGCATGGGGCTAGTGCTTGGTGGGAGGAGCCCAGTTGTTCTCACTGGGCACTCAGACGCTTCTTGGGTTGACGACCAGGCTACTCAGCGGTCGTCACAGGGTTACACCTTCAGCCTTGGCTCTGGTTTAGTTTCTTGGCGTTCTACTCGCTCGTCTTCAGTTCTCAGCTCTAGTTGTGAGGCTGAGATCTACGCCACAGCCATGGCTGCACAGGAGTTGCGCTGGCTCACCTACCTGCTGACCGACCTGGGAGAGCGGCCTCGTTCTCCTCCAGTGCTGTACGTCGACAACAAGGCTGCCATTGCCTTGTGTGAGGAGCACATACTGGAGCACAGAACGAAGCACATTGCTCTGCGTTACTTCTTGGCTCGAGAGTTGCAGCAGCGAGGCCAGCTTCGTCTCCGTCACGTGGACACTCGGGCCAACACTGCTGATATATTCACCAAGGCACTTCCGTCTGGTGATCATCAGCGCTTTTGTACTTTGTTGGGCCTTGTTCCGACGTTTCCACACTTGCTGTAGCCCTTGTTTGTACTGTGATCTTTATATATATATATATATATATATATATATATATATATATATATATATACCTGCATGTTGGCTCTTGCTAGCTAGAGATCACTGTACTGTTCTTGTTGTTTATATACCTCTGTATGTGGACTGGCCCTGTGGCCGTTTGCTTGTGCTCAGTGGGAGTGGTGACGTTGTGATCCACCCTGAGCTGTGTTTTTGTCTCTTGACTGGTCTTGTGACCGTTGCTTGCTCTGGCTATCCCCCATTTCGCCTATGGGGGTGTGTCAAAACATATGCATATTATATCTAGGCTATATTGGGGATAGCCTTAGGGGGTACACACATTTCTCTCGACACTCTACTCTTGTACCCCACCTTGACCTAATCTCATCATCCTTGCCTTAGATTCTAACAGGTGGAGCTTGGGAAGCGGGAGCAAGAGAAACCAAGAGAAGAATGGGGCTCCTCTAGCGTGAAGAGGAGAGAAGAAAAGGGACGGAACAAACCCTAACCATTGCAGATTCGTCGCAGACACAAGGTTCCCAAAAATCTGAAACACGCTTAAAAGTGCGTGCTTCTAGCGCAGGTAGGCGAAGTTGAGTATGAGATCAAAAGGTTGTAGGTTCGAATCCTCGTGTGCACTTTGTTTTCTTCCATGCGGACTTAATTCAAAATAAAGTACCAAACGTGTTACAACAACATTCGGTATTATATTTAATGTTGTATGATACTGTATGGTGTGTAATATTGCAAAACGCTTCGCAACCCTAGGACGACTTGTCGCCTCTTGTTTTTTTTTTTCCCAGACGGATGGAATGAGCCTTTCATTCTGTTAAATCTGCTTCAATCAGGGAAAATCGATAACAGGATCAAGCATTTACCGTGATTATGGCAATGCCTTCCATCCCATGATCGAAAAAACTTTGAGTAAACATATTCAGATCATGAATATAGAGAACAGGTGGCATCTGAGCTAACAAAACATGAATACTTAGGAAGCGATGCTGACATTCTGCCATGAGAAACTCTTTGCCGAGTATGCAAGCTGACGTTTTCGATATTGTCATGGCATTGTTCCTATGGCGGTTGTGTCAGTTTCACCTGCCACCTCCCACTCCCTCGCATCCACCCTTGGAGGCTTCCTTGGCGGGCATTCGTCCCTCCGCCACTCTCCACCATTGGTTGACTGCACCACCCTTCCACCCTCCCCCCCCCATTCTCCCCCGCTCCCTGTTCTCCCCACCTTTCCTTCCCCCCCTTCCCCCGTCCTTCCGCCATTGTTCGCATCCCACCGCAACACAACCGCCCGCCAATCACGGATCCTCAAGCAGCACTTTCCCTCCTCGTGTCACCATCTCCCCTTGACTATGCCGATTTCCCTTTCTCAAGAATTGCTGCTGCCTCCATCGTGTGTTGAGGGTGTTGAACAGATCTGAACCTAGGTCGAATATAGGTTTCTGCTGGTTTGGTAGAGTCTAAGATAGGTGCTTGTCCTGATTCGCTACCACGGCCATGGCTCGTCTTGTGGCCTTCGTGTGCCTGCTGGCACTTGTGAATGCCGCTTCAGCCTTTTACCTTCCTGGCGTGGCTCCTCAAGACTTCAAGAAGGTTAATATCTTCGTAGTTGCCGATGAGAGATATTTGAGCATTTATGGATCAGCACTAACTTGCGCGCAATGTGTGAGCAGGAAGATCCACTTTTTGTTAAAGTCAACAAGCTAGTGTCGACCAGAACTCAGCTTCCTTATGAGTACTATTCACTCCCCTTCTGCCTTCCGGAGGAAGGAATTAAGCCAGTGGCGGAAAATCTGGGCGAGATTCTGCGTGGTGACAGAATTGAGAACTCTCCCTATCAGGTCTGTATCACGATTTTTTTTCGATGTTTAGCAAGACCATGCTGAGTTTCCGGCTTCTTACGCCGCGAATCCTACCTTTTCTGAGTCGCAGTTTCAAATGAGGATCGACGAGCAGTGCAAGATCGTCTGCAGAAAGGCGAAGGTTCCTCTTGAGGAGGCCCTTCAATTCCAGGAAAAGATCGATGACGAATATCGCGTCTTCATGTACGAATAGTTTCATTGACCTCTCTTATGCATCTATCTATGAATCAGTCCTAATGTCTCGGCTTGTTCACTGCAGGATCCTCGATAATCTGCCAGCGGCCATGGTCAGGATGCGCGCGGAAGAGGGTGGCGAATCCATCAAGACTTACGAACGTGGATTTCCTGTGGGATTCAAGGTTGCTTCGGAAACGGTATGTCACATATGTCTCATGGCCGTCTCAGTTCCGTTCAGAAAGATGGATCTTCAGTAGATCATGGCGTTAACGTCTAGAATGTTTCCATGTTGCTTGCAGAATGGGCCGGATGAGTATTTCTTGCACAATCACCTGCGGTTCACTGTGCTGTTCCACAAAGACCCCACCAACCATCTGGCTCGCGTCGTCGGTTTCGAAGTCGAACCATTCAGGTAGGTGCCAACAGTTTTGGTTTTTGTGAATCAGCGAGCAAGCTATATGCGCTAACGTAATCATGGCCATTGCGTGCAGTGTGAAGCACCAGTACGAGGGAACCTACAACCCGGCGAAGCCTATCCTCACGACCTGCAACCCAGGAAACCCTACGCAGCATGTGGACAGCGGGATGCCGCCGCAGCCGATCAAGGAGAACGAGGAGGTCATTTTCACCTACGATGTGATGTTCAAGGTATGTGAAGATCAGAGTGTGCGAATGTGTGATGTCCGGAAATGTACTAAAGGCTTGATAGGTCTTGGTCAATATGAAAGTCAAATGAAAACCTAGATGCATATGAAGGGGGTGCCAGTGCGATTGTGTCGTTAAAACACGCTGAGCAACACGTTAGTGGGACGTCAGTGACAGTCTGCAAGCAAGGTGTGTAGTGAGCGGACACGTTAAAC